TACTTTGGATATTGTGTTTACTCTATTTATTCCCAAAGAAGAGTGCTCTTGGGAGAGTGACACAGCCTCCAGCGAGCAGTGTTCCTAAAATTCACAGACTGCCATCAGTTCACAGTGAGTGTGTGCAGACACTGCATACAGCTCAACAAATTTTCATAAACTAAACACGTCTATTTGACCAGCACTGAGATCAAGAAGAAGCATTTATGAACTTTTATAGCCAGTCAACAGAATAATGTCTGTTGAAACTAATACTTAAAAACTGGGGCTTGAGGGTCAGCCTCATGGCCTAGTGGTTAAGTTCGATGCACTCTGCTTCAGTGGCCTGGGTTCGGCTCTTGGGTGTGGACCTACACCACTCATCAGTGGCCATGCTATTGAGGCGACCCACATACAAAATAGAGGAAGATTGGCACAGGTGTTAGCTCAGGGCAGATCTTCCTCAAGCAAAATGAGGAAGATTGGCAACAGATGTAAGCTCAGGGCAAATCTTCCTCAGGTAAAAACAAAAAAAAATTAGGGCTTGTATTTTGCCTCTTTGTTCCATTCTTAGTCACTCATTTTTATTATATTTTAAAAAATGTATTGACTAGTGAATGATTAGAAATGAAACAAAAAAACTTGTCATTCACCTCTGATCATTTGAGAAGAACCAATCTAGATGACCAAAGATCCCTATTAGATTTTGTGCCTATTTTCAGCTGCTAACTTCAGCATTCTGTGAGAACCAACCCTTCGCATGAGGCCCAGCTCTCCTAAACAGGATAACACCCCTACAATGAGCTTGCTCACCAGAGGTTGTCTCCTGCTCCCAATGCACCTTTCCTTTCCTTGAGGTTAAATAGAGTGAACACAATGTGTTTGTTTGCGGCCTTAAAGTGTTGCTTTCCTGGGGGTCCCTGCCTTGCAAATGTCTGTGAGGCTTGGATAAATAGGAAAAGGTTCCCCGCCTGGAGCCCAACACCTTGTGTGAAGATTACAGCATGGTCTACACTATAGAAATCATTTTCCTGCTTCTAATATAGAAGCTGACACACAGGACTAGATTCTCGTGCCAAGACTGTCTGCGGATGTCCAACTTTCCTGTTGTGAATGGGTACAAGCTGTGATGTTGCCATTCAAGGACTTCCAGTAGCGGAAGAGGAAAATTATGAACCAACTCCCCTCGGAGAGGAAGTGCCTATTCAAACAGCAGTCGGTAGTGAGCACAGTAGCTGCCTCCTTCCGACCAGGAACAGCCCCGCCTCTGCAATTGCTGACTCTCCCATGGCAGGGTCTATGAACTGGCATGACAGGAAGAGGCTTGGCAGAAGCAGCATTTGGCGCATTCACACTTATCCCGTGAACACTTTGGGAAAGAATTAACTACGTGCATTTTCCTGGAAGACAGAATTTGCCTTGTCCATTGATTGTCTTTAATTTACAACAAATGCCCGAAAACGGGACATACGTGATATTGTAAGCCTTCTACAAATTCGGATAGCAAACCCAATGGCCCAAGGCTCATTCTCTATTTTTTTCATTGCTTCAGAAATGGGATGTTGGAAGGAAGAGGTTGTACACAGAACCATAAAGCTGGAAGGGTCCCTTACAGATCAGCTAGCAAATCCCTCTCCCATTTTATAGATGCTAAAACTTAAGCCTGGAGAAGGCATGTGTCTTGCCAAAGATGAGGTTTAAACAACACGGACTGGATTCCAGGGTTTTATGTTCTAATTCTGTTTTTTGTCAGCTTTTGATGGAAGTAGAACATACCTACAAAAAAGTCACAAATCATAACTATAAAACTCAACAAATTTGCATAAGCTAAGCACACTCATCTAACCAGCACCCAGAGCAAGAAATGCACATCTCTAGTATGCCCCAAAGCCTCCATATGTACCCAGCTACTGCCCCCTCCCGAGGGAAATCACCATCCCGTCTTCTAGCATCACGTGTTATTTTTGCTGTTACTGATGTCATATGAATGGAATTGTATAGTGTGTTACTCTTGTATCAGGCTGCCTTCACTGAACACTCTCTCGGTGAGATTCATCCACATTGCTACATTTTTTTAAATTTTTATTATTTATTTATTTTTTTTTTTTTTGAGGAAGATTGGCCCTGAGCTAACATCTGTGCCCATCTTCCTCTATTTTATATGTAGGATGCCTGCCACAGCATGGCTTGATAAGTGGTGCTAGGTCTGCACCTGGGATCCAAACTGGCGAACCCTGGGCCGCTGAAGCAGAGCACAAACTTAACCATTATGCCACTGGGCCAGCCCCTCACATTGCTGCATTTTAATACATTGATTTTCATTGCTGTATCATACTCTTTTGTGTGAATATAGTAAATTCTTTATATTTTCAACTATTGATAGACATTTCGGTAGTTTCCAGTTTGGGGTTGTTACAAATAGTGCTGCTAAGACCATTCCTATATGTGTCTTTCGGTAAATATATGAATAATCAAATTGGGGTTTCCTCATACTTTTTGCCCACTGATGCTCCAAAAAAAAGTTAATAGAATGAATGAACCAGCTGTGCACAAGTCTTTGTGCTATGAGAGATTGTCACTGCACCTCTGTCTGTGCCAGCCGTCCAAAGGGGACTGTTTACAGAATTACAGTAGCCACGTGGCAGTTAGCAAGACAACATTTATAGTTTGGGATTACTTGCAAGTACTCTCAAAAGCTAAAATAAACAGTCACTTGACATTTTGTTAATATAAAAATGTGAGTTTTTCTTAAATTTGCTTTTATTTTTATTTCTTTTTAATTACGTAAGTAATATATAAATACATCCTTGTTCTATAAACATACCTAACAAAACAATCATTTTGGATGTAAGTGTCCCGGTTGCAAGGATTTTATCTGTTTTCTTGATCACAAAACAGCATCAGTGCCTGGCCTGGAAGGTGCTAAACAATGTTTGTTGAATGAATGAATGATGGATGGTTCCTGTGACCGTTGCTCCCCGTCCCTGGAACTTCCCCAGGGGTAATCTCATCTCTGAGTTCGATGTGGATTTTTCCATTCCTTTTTTCTATACATTGGTTTTGTGTGTGTATGTTTATATAATTGAAGGATACCACGTGTGTGGATTTTTTAAACGAACAATATGTGTCTTAAGCATTTTTTATTCTCAGTACATAGAGATCCACCTTTTTATAAGCTGTTTCACATTCCATGACATGAATATATTATATTTTGGTTATCTCTAATTTTTTGATGCCACAAATGATGCTGCTATGAATATTCTTGTGAATGTGCATAAGTATTTCCTGGCAGTAGGTACCAAGAAATAGACTTGCTGGCTCACAGGTGGTATATGTTTTTAATATTTCCAAATGCCTTCCAAGATGGTCATTCCAATTCACACTTTCATCAGCAGAAAGTACCTGCTCCCTCATCTTTCCTGTGATTGATATTATCAAACTCAGAAGTTTTTGCCAAAATGATAAGTGAACAATGTCATTAAGCTTGCATTCCCATCCATGTTGCTAGAGTTGGCTATCTTTTCATATATTTGTTCATTAGGTTCGGCTTTGATTCAAGCCTGCAGCAAAGAGCAAGTGTGTAGGAGTGAACCATTTAGTGCCAAACCCCCATCAGGGCATCTTCTACGGCCAAGCTGTTTTTTATTCTCATCTTCGTGGCTGTAGAATCCTAGACAATCGCTGGTTGTATCCCCCGCTCAATTGCTAAGAGTGCAAAGAAGTGATGTAAAAATTTCTTCAGCATCCCAGGGAACGGGGGGAATCTTGACCTGTCCAGTGTATCGGTACAAAGCAAAAGCATTTGGATACTGAATTTTCCAGTTAATTATCCTAGTGCTTTCTCTTTTTACCGGAAACTTGAAGGAATAAACCAAGTTGTACTATGCAGCTTACCTATCTTTGCCATAGAATGGAGGCTGAGTTCTGAGAAATGCTGTATTGGGTATGAAATTCCAACTAAACCTAGAACGAGCATCTTATTTATATTTCTGCATGTTGGAGCCATTATCCGACCAGTCCCTTGACCAGCATTAGGGCAGAGGTTTTGGAGGTGAATTATCCAGCTTTCAGTCCTGGTCTTTGCTGGCTTGCAAGCTGGGGCATATTCCTAAACCTCTGTTCCTCTGCTCCATTTTCTATCAAATAGAACAAATAATAAAACCTACTTCGTGGAATCATCAACAGGATTAAGTGATCAATAAATGTAAGGTGTACAACCCAGAGTCTGGCATATTCAATATTTTGATTATATAATGAATAAAGATGATGATTATTATTATCATAGTGTTAGTTTTGATTGGAGCACAGATCGAGGTTTGAATCTGAGCTTAGAACATGTCCAAGTTCTTTTCTTTTTTTTTATACTGGCGAAGAAAATCACTACAGGATGCCCTTCACAGCTCATCTACAGGTGTGCACTCACTTTGCGTAGAAGAAGTCACATTGGCCTCTGATGTTGATTTTATACACAGCTCCTTGCAGGTTTTTAGTTCAGGATATGCAAATGAGGAGCGTTTAACAAATGGACCCACCAGACCACTAAATTCCATATCAATTTTTACCCAAAGCATAAATGGATTCAAGTTTGCTCAGACCTTGGCCTTGTGAGCCCCTGGCTGACATTTCTGTTTGAAACCTGACACCCTGCCAGAAAGTTTCTTTAGTTTGAATAAAATGAAAAGAGGGACTTAATTCCAATAACAGACAGACCCAGCAGGGCCAGCAGTTGATTCAGATTTTTATTGTCCCACAAGAACCTGGCCTTCTAGGCTGTGACTCCGGACCTCTGTACTCTGTACGTTTGTCTCGTGTTCAGGATAGAATAACCAGAGGCTCAGAGAGAGGACATCTGAGTGGAATGAAGTCAAACCCCAGCTGCCTTTTTTCTCAGCTTCCCCAAAGTTCCTGTTCTTTGAGGTCTGACCATTCTTGGTTTGGGTAATGAGACTGATTTAATGCCAAAGCATCTGCTGGATACTCTTTGAGAAATGCCAGAAAGATGCACTTATCATCATACTCACTCCAGAATGGGCTTTCCATGTGTAATTCCTTCCATGTGAAAATTCTAATGAGGTCAAGATGCATCCTTGATTGGAATCTTCTTTCAAAATGCAAGTTTTCCTGAGAAGAATGACATATGAAACTACTGTTATTCCATCAATCCTTCATTCATTCATTTATCTCCCACATATTCGTGAGGGCTTACCCAATGCCTGACAGTGTGCAAAGGACCAAGGGGACAGTGGTTAATAAGGCAAATACAGTCCCTGCCCTATACAGCTCAGCCAAGTGGGGCCATAGGCATTGGGCAAGCAAATGCAACAAAGTGTGATGAATGTAAAGGGCCCACCAGGAAGGGGACTAGGGGTTTGGCCTTGACTCTGTGTGACCCGGATCATCTCTGCCTCTGCGGGAGCCTACACTGTCATGGGATGCCATCCTAGCTGCTGCTCCTAATGAGAATTTTGCCTGCTGTGAGGCACCAGGGCATGCAGCCAGCTCAGGGCTCTGGAGTAATTTACTAAGGTCTCATTACCTTGCCTCTCTTGGGGTCTCTGCCACAGGATCATGTTGTAGGTGACATCACCTTATAATGAAGCTTTTTTTGCACATTTTACCCTGGAGTAAACTTGAATGCAAGTTGGGGGGGTGGGGAGAGAGAGAAGAGAGAGAACAGTGGAGACCCTGAGTAAGAAGAGACAGACAGGTAGAGTGTGAATATGCTGTTCCTGTTCTGAATGAATCTGGTACCAAACACCATTTCCTCGTTGGGGAGAAAGCATGAGAGTTTGACTCAGGACACCTGGGCTTAAGTTATATTCCCATCACTCGCCAGCTCTGACCTTGCCAAGTCACTGAAAGTCTGTTCCCTCAGTTTCCTCCTTTGCAAAAAGAGATTTAAATCACCACATCCCATTAACTGGGTTGTTTTGTCGCTTGAATGTGCTTAAACAACCCAATGCCCATCAGCTGTGTTTTCAAAACTGAAAAATGTATTAACATATTAGTTGTCATCGTTACATATAAATGTTGAATATCTTTGTGTACAGGGAGGGGGGGGTGCAAAGGACAGAATCTATGTTTTGGGGCTGGGCTTGGGGTCAAAGGGTAGACCAAGGCTGTGAAACTCTGGGCTGCCCAGAAAGAGGATTTTGGCATCCTTCTCCTCTTCCTCTTCTTCGTCATTATGGCCAAAGTGTTTTTCTATGATGCTCCTAACTTTTCAAAGTGCTCACGCATTACTCACTTCAAATTCAGGCCTCGCTGTCTTGGCAGGTTTGTTATTGAGTGACCAAAGTCACTCAAGGGACCCACCTCTTTTGCTCACACACTTCCAAGTGGCTGTCATTTGATATGACTGCATTGCTATCCTCCTGAGGCTGGAGGGGGACAGAATACAGACGGTCCCCAACTTACGACGGTTCGACTTACGATTTTTCAACTTTACAAGATGCAAAAGCAATATACAGTCAGTAGAAACTGTCCTTCACATTTTGAATTTTGATCTTTTCCGGGGCTAGCAATATGCAGTACTGCTCTCCAGTATGATGCTCTCTCATGATGCTGGGCAGCAGTCAGCCACGCAATCACGAAGGCAAACACCAGATACGCTGACAACCATTCTGTACCCACACCACCACTCTGTCTTTCACTTTTAGTACAGTATTCAATAAATTACATGAGATATTCAACACTTTATTATAAAACAGGCTTTGCATTAGATGATTTTGCCCAACTATAGGCTAATGTAAGTGTTCTGCGTACGTTTAATGTAGGCTAGGCTAAGCTGTGATGGTGGAATAAGTTAGGTGTCCTAAATGCATTTCCGACTTAGGATATTTTCAACTTATGATGAGTATCTTGGGATAAAATCTCATCCTAAGTTAAGGAAGATCCATATTTCGTAGGCCAGGTAGACCTGCTTTCCACAAGTAAAGTCCTCTTAGACCACTGGGCTCCTAATCTGCTTGGGAAGGAGAAACTGCAGTGTGAGCAAATGAGATCAGGAGGTCATTCCTGAGAGCCACACTTGCCAAGTCAAGAACAAGACTCTATCAAGTTTATCTGCAGTTCCTCCAAAAGCATCCTAGAAAGATGCTTAGCCTCTGGCCTCTCGTGCCTGGGGTGTCACTGTTCCTCCGTGAAAGAGCAGCCCTCCTGGGCGCTTTCACAAACCATGCATCTGCTGACATTTGCAAATGCCAAAGCTCTTCAGGAACTGCTTCTCTACATCTGTCTGCTCTGACTACCAAAGAAATAGATTTCAAAATCATGTGTAAGAACATGAGGACATACAAGGGAGACGCAACGTCGAAAGAACAACACAGGTCAGCCATGCCACCTACAGCTGTGAACACCTAGGACCACCAGAAAAGCACCCAGCCTCAGAGCAGCCCTGCCCCTGAGGGCAGTGATGCAGGTGACTTTCCCAAGTCAGAGACGGGCTCAACACTGCGCCTCCCTGCTCACAGCCCCCCGGCCGCCCCACACTCTTCCTCAGCATCATGGTAGTCAAAAGAGCAGGGGCTCTGGAGGTGGAGGAGCTGAGGTGAAATCCCAGCCCCATCACTTACTAACTGAATCATTTTGGACAATATTTTTTATCCTTTCTGATTCTCAGTTTTCCCATCTGACAAATGGAGATGCTATTATTCTTATAGGGTTCTTGTGAGGATTCAGTGAGAAAGGTGGATAAAGCGCTTAGCACAGCACTTGAGACATAGCAGGTGCTTCATCTGTGGTAGTTGCATTCACCCATTCATCCACCCATCACGTTAGGGGCAGAATTAGCACAGATGTCAGGACAGAGCATCACTTGGACCTTTTTAAAGTCTTTCGGCCTTTTCTCAAATGTGACTTTATCACTGAGGCCTGTCCTGTTCACCCTATTTAAAACTGCAAACCTGTATCGCAGATCGCCCCCCCAACACACACCTCCAACCCACTCCCCATCCTTTCTTCACTGCCCTATTTTTTTCCATAGCATTATCACTTTCTAACAGACTACATAATCTACATTGTGTTTAGATTTATTATTTATGGTTTGTCTCCTCCTGGCAGAACCTAAGTCCCATCAGGACATGGACCTTTGTCTGTAATATATTCTTTGCAACTAGAAAACAACATGACACAGAGTAGTGCTCAATAAATATTTGTTGAATGAATCGAGGCCCTGGAATCATCAGTTAGGCCCGCTTCCAGTGCTGGTCTTGGCTCGTACTGGTGTTTGTGATCTGTAGCAAATTACTCTCAGCCTTAGTTTTCTCCTCTGAAAGATACAGACACTGATGATTTCAACCCCTCCGAGTCAAGAGAATTAAATGAGATTATGTCTGTGAAGCACTTGGCATAGCTCTGGGGCACAATAACTTCTCACTAAATGAAAGCTGTTAAGATGAAAAATTATGAAGCTCTTGATTTCCATGCTAGTGTAGACAGAGACAAGGGATCATCCAGAGTCATTCCCAGAAACACCCACCCTTAGTCTTATTCTGAACTCCCTTCTCAATGTATGCTTAAGTAGCCAATAATGTGAATTCCATCTCCTCTCTGTGCCTGTCCAGTCACCAACTTCCCCCGAATCACAGACAGCATGATGGCCAGTGGGGAAATCTGGAAATCATCACAGGTGTTTGGCCCCATCACGTATATGGTTTGACTGGTGCTGGGATCAAGACAGTGCTGCAACCACAGGCCTGCCATTAGCAAACAGTAGAGTTCCTGCGGGTCTATCTTGTGGTGGGAGCCAAAACTACAGTTACTACCCTCAAGGAGTTTATGATCCAAAGCTCTTCTAAGAGAAGATGACGGAGCTCCATACCAACAGTCATTGTTGTCTGCAGATGTGTGTGAATGCACATGGATGGCATCAGTGGAGGCTGGAATGTGCAAGAACCAGTTGGGTTTCCAGCTCATTCTAGTGGGCAAGACACTGCCACTTTTTCCTAGACTCCGCCCACCACACCCAATATGAAAATCTTAAGGCAGACGGATGTGACGGATTAAAAATGAGACTGGCAGTCCAGGACAAGTTCAGGTTTCAGTTCCGCTGTGTGTCTTTGGGCAAGACACTGGGCCTATCTGAAGACAATTATTATAACAGCTAACATTTGTTGCATGTTTACTTTGTGCCAGGTGCTTCATATATATTAGTAACTTTTTTCAGCCATTTGTTTGTTTAACTAAAGTTTACTGAGCGCTAGCCTCACACAGGCACTCTGGATGCAACAGTGAACAAAGCAGCTCAACGCCTCATCTCATTGAACTTAAATACTGGTGGTCGAGACTGAGAGTGAATAATATTGATATATATTACATCATTATTAACTACTTATTCATTCATTCAAAAACCACGTATTAAGCCTCATACTGCTCTATCAACAAATTGTGGTCACTGTTACAAACGAGAAGTTTAGAGTGTTCTCTGTGGGATCATATCCTGGGAGGGTAGGTGACTGGCCTTGTCTGAAAGCTCAGCCATGACTTCCAAAGCGAAGTGACTTTGAATTACGAAATTGAAGAATGGGTGAGTCAGTGTGTAACCTCATTTTGCGGATGAAGAAACTGAGGCTTAGAGAGTTCCCACAACTTGTCCAAAGAACCACAGTTAATGTTTAACCAGTTTTGAACCCTAGTTTTTCTAATTCCAAAACAGGTGATCTTCCCATCCGGCTGGTGTTTTTAGACTGAGATACATGTCTAAATTGCCACTGAGGGCTTTTTCAAAAGCTGTGTTGTAGCGTTTCACCAAGAGATTCTGGGATTAGCTGGTCCAGGTGGAGCAGGGTGGGTGAAAGCAAGTTTAAAAGAGCTCCCCAAGTGATTTGGATGCACAACCCTAACAATACCACTGTCTAGTATTTCTGCAGCTAGCCCTCAGAACCTAGCGACATTGTGGAAGAAAACACAGCCAGGGGTCGGGGCTCTGCCACATCACTAACTCCCTGTGTGATCTAAGGGACGCCTCGTATTCCCTGGTCCTGTCTCTTTGTGGGGCTGTGACTACATCGGGACTTCCAGCCCTCATTGCGCATTAGAGTCCCCGGGAAAGCTTTAAAAATCCTTCATGTGCCCCACCTCCAAACAACAGCACCAGAATCTCTGGGGAAAGGACCCAGGCT